TCAATAAGACAGAGAGAGAGAGAGAGAAATGTTGAAATAATACCAGTAAGTTATATCATTAGACTCAATAAGACAGAGAGAGAGAGAGAGAAATGTTGAAATAATACCAGTAAGTTATATCATTAGACTCAATAACACAGACAGAGAGAGAGAAATATTGAAATAATATCAGTACACTGAACAATATTATATATATATGAGAAATGTTAAACATCAGAATATAAAAAAAATACAGCTAATTTTTTTAAAAGTTAAAAACCGATATCAATTTAGCACATACGCATATATCTCTCTTGTGTAATTTAACATTTTTCCATATACATGTTGTTTAGTGCATCGAAATTAGATGAACACGTCTACACGTATGTCTTGTTTACTGTACAGACATTAGTTCGATATATTTCTATGTACACATTGTTTAGAGTACCGATATCAAGTGAACGCGTGTTCATGTATGTCTTGTTTAGATTGCAATGCGAAGTTAATATATATCCGGATGTATGTGAAGACGTAAAACTATTAACGGTATGCTAAACAAGACGTGTATTGAGACTCTTAAATTAATACCTGCATACAAACAATATATAGTGAAATACAGATAGAGAAATGTTAAACTAATATCGGTATAATGGCTATCTCATTATCATTATATTACGAAGAAACTGTTAAAGCAACATCTGTATTCTAACAAGGTATATATATACAAGGAAATGCTAAACTAATATCGGTGTGATAAACAAGATATAAAGGGAGAACTGATAAATTAATATCTGTATACTAACAAGGTATATATATACAAGGAAATGCTAAGCTAATATCGTGTGATAAACAGGATATAAAGGGAGAACTGATAAATTAATATCTGTATACTAACAAGGTATATATATACAAGGAAATGCTAAGCTAATATCGTTGTGATAAACAGGATATAAAGGGAGAAGTGTTAAACTAATATCTGTATACTAACAAGGTATATATATACAAGGAAATGCTAAGCTAATATCGGTGTGATTAACAAGATATAAAGGGAGAACTGTTAAACTAATATCTGTATACTACATGTTATATACTACTGACGTACCTATTCAACCCAAGGGGAAGAAATATGGACACCTGACGGGACCAAGCATGACGTAGGTCACTTCTAGGAATCTAAGGATTGTCCAACTTTGGTGATAATCGGTCCAGCGAATCGCCAGTTATAAGCACATACACATACTTTTGTCAAATAACAGTTTAAGATATAGAGACGTGTTTAACTAATAGGATACACTAAAGAAGAATAAACATACGAAGATATGTTAGAATAATATCGACACACTAAACAAGAAACATGTGGAGACATGTTTGAATAATATCGACACACTAAAGAAGGAGCATGTGGAGACATGTTTGAATAATATCGACACACTAAAGAAGGAATATGTAGAGACATGTTTGATAATATCGACACACTAAATAAGAAACATGTGGAGACATGTTTGATAATATCGACACACTAAACAAGAAACATGTGGAGACATGTTTGAATAATATCGACACACTAAATAAGAAACATGTGGAGACATGTTTGAATAATATCGACACACTAAAGAAGGAATATGTAGGAGACATGTTTGAATAATATCGACACACTAAAGAAGGAATATGTAGAGACATGTTTGATAATATCGACACACTAAAGAAGAGACATATGAAGATATGTTAGAATAATATCGACACACTAAAGAAGGAATATGTGGAGACATGTTTGAATAATATCGACACACTAAAGAAGGAATATGTAGAGACATGTTTGAATAATATCGACACACTAAACAAGAAACATGTCGAAACATGTTTAAATAATATCGACGCACTAAACAAGAAATATGTAGAGACATGTTTAAATAATATCAACACACTAAACAAGGAATATGCGGGAAACTGTTGAACTAATAATGGGAAACTATATAAAATATGCAAAGACATGTGCTAGTGTAATATCAGTGTACTATGCGCAGGGTAAAAGGAATAATGTTTTAATAACTTCGGTATCTTATACAATGGGATGTATAGAATAATGCCGTATGAGCATCGGTATTCTATTGAAGAAATATAGGGTTTATTTGTTTCGTTTGTTTTGAAATTAAGCACAAAGCTGCACGATGGGCTATCTGTGCTCTGCCCACCACGAGTATCGAAATCCGGATTATAGCGTTGTAAGTCCGCAGACACTCCGCTGTGCCACTGGGGGTGATAAATATTGCTCTACTATTGTGTAATTTAATTATTCAACCTGGAACATTTATCTTTTTCTTTATTTAAAACATTCAGGTTCTCGTAAATTAAACAAAGATATTAATGAATAAGCTCTATATTTACGTGTAGCATATAGCGTGGTTGACATATTGTTACATTCTATATTTACGTGTAGCATATAGCGTGGTTGACATATTGTTACATTCTATATTTACGTGTAGCATATAGCGTGGTTGACTATATGCTACACGTAAATATAGAATGTAACAATATGCGTGGTTGACATATTGTTACATTCTTCTTTACTTTCACTCATAAGTTCTTAGAATTACTGATGTAGTCTTTTTTCGTTAGCGCACAGGTTGCTTGACCAGCTTCGGGAACAATAAGACTAGCTTGCTGGTTTCATGAATTGTTTACAAAGTTAATTCAAGTAAAAATAAATAACTAATAATAATTGGTGTTAAAATGAGGATATAATACAGTGTTATTTAAGCCTTACCCTAGTTCTGATTTGTAAATGACTGATATAATATGGATGAAAAACCCTTAATCTAGTTCACACCACAACAGTTGATGTTCATGCAATTGTATAATATGAATAACCACAACTGTGTTTAGCCTGATGAGCCCTGGTACTGGACGAAAAGGGCTAATCGGAACTGGATATAGTAGATATAGTGTGGTTGACATATTTACTTTCATTCATATTTTCTTACAATTAGTCGTGTTTTTAAAGGATTGAAATAACCGAGATAACTACTGACTGTTGTATAAGATATCCTTAACAAACACAGCGGGTCAAGTATGGCCCAATGGTTAGCGTGCCGAACTGAGAAAATGAAGTTTTGTGGTTCGTGTCTCGTTACCACAAAACAACAACAACAACAAAAAAATGTCCAAGAATTGGCGGTGGATGGTGTTGACTAGTTGACTTTCACAATTAGGGACGGTTAGTACAGATAGCCCCCGCGTAGCTTTGGCTACAACGTATCTGAAACTTGAAACGTCACGTAAACCCAGTTCTTTCTAGTAAAACACGAAAACTATTTCCTAATATTAAAAATCTGGTATTATGTGTAGTGTTAGTGAATGGTGCCCAGAATGATTGGTGTACTGGAAAGATCATTATACAGAAACTGTTAGACCAAAGGTACGATCTTCGAGGGCAAGATAGTTTGTCGGTCTGTTTGTATACTACTAATAAGTCGTTGTTTTAGCTGTCTGTATACTACTAATAAGTCGTTGTTTTAGCGCAAAGCTACACAATGAGCTATCTACGTCCTGTTCTCCGTGGGGAGTCGAACCTTGGACCTACCCGTTGCAAATTTATAAACTTTCCGCTAACCCATTGGCAGACATACTAAGTCTATGTGTTTGGCAACTTATGTGTATTTTTATGTCGCATAACAACAGCTTTTGTCTTTTATTAGGATGGAAACTGAATTCTGTTTCTTTAATTCATGGTTTAAGGAAGGAACTTAAAATAGATGGCTTGGTGGTTAGAGCGCTCAACTCGCTATATGCGAGTCGCGGGATCGAAGCCCCGTCACACCGAACACGCTCACCCTTTCAACCGTGGGGGGTTATTATGTGACGGTCAATCCTACTTTTCGTTGGTGAAAGAATAGCCCAAGATTTGGCGGTGGGTGGTTTTGATTAGCTGCTTTGCCTTTAGTCCATCAATTCAAAACAAACCAAAAACTTAAAATACGTTTTCTAGATGGTTCTTAAAGTAGGTTTCTTGGCATAATATAAATTATTTGTCATTTTTTAAAACCATTTAACAACGCAGAAAAATAATAGAAATCCTCGTATCTAGAGTTCTGAAATCAATATAAAATAAACCTAAAATTATGTAAATTAAATCTGATTATCATTTTCCTATTATTCAATATAAACTTTACCTTCCAGAAAAACATTACGCGATTCACATTGGTTAGTCTGACGACACTGTGCCTGTAAGTGGCAGTGACAGAAAATTCTATCTTGAACTATTTGTTCCGTAAAAAAAAGAAGAAAACTTACGCAACAAATACACTACAAAACCTGGAAAATAACTTGAATAAACAAGATAGGTCTCTGAGTACCATCAAGTGTACGTGATGTTTCCTTGTCACGTGGTTACTTGATAAATTAGCATACCAATAAACAAATATCTATACAGAGTATGAAGTAAACGTTATAGTATGTACAAAGTTTAAAAACTTGACTTGTATGAACATTCAGATCAAAAGGAACTCTTTAGTTTGTTTTATTTTACTACAACTTAAAGAAACAGTTGTAAACATTATTTGTTTTGTGTCATAGTTTTAAAAAAGTAGAAAAACTTTAGTTACCAGAGTGAATTAGAATTGGAATTGTTGCATGGCTGGAAGTCTAGAGCCGTGTCCCAACTGAAATAAGAGAATCGTGTAAAAATCATTTCACTAAAATGTGTACATTAAATGTGACGCGTAACTGATAAAGGCTAAAGTTTAAAGTTAAACCTTTTTTTTTTTCACTTTCGTTACAACAAATTTCAAAGTTCCTTTTGATATGAACGTTTCAATTTCAATGAAATTCAACGTACCTACAACGCAGATCAAATCATTATTATTTACAAATAATTTATTATTATATCTATTATTTACGATATAATGGTTCGAAAACGAACCAAAAGGTTCTTTTGGTGTTTGAAATATAAACATACACACACACAGTAATACGAAAATAATATGAATTTTACTATACATTTTGAATTAATTTGGGTATCACAATCAATATTTGAAAATATGTGATGATGGAAAAATAATCTAAAAAGAAGAAAAAAAATGACAAAACATTTTACCTAGGTAAAAAGTCTAACGGAGTAAAATAGTGCATAGTCAATAATCTTAAAGTTTACGAAAATTATATAACCCAGCAAATTTGATCAGCTTCTAGAAAACACAGGAATCGTTTGAAAAGCTGAAAAGCGACTTTTCACATTTAAAAGAAACCCCCAAAACGTTAGTTTCAACAACAAAACATTCTATTAAAACTTTTAATCTTTTTTGCAATACGTAATATTTTTTCTATAGTTCGGTGTTCTAGGAATAAGAATGAAGCAGTAATAAATTTACGTTTACAACATATCCCTCAACGTGGAGAATAGCTAGCTATTTCCTTCCTGGGTAAAAACCTTCTAGTTTTACAATAGGTAACGTTTCTACAGAGAAAAAACCATCAGACTTTTCTAACGACATAATATAACGGTACAACTTGAGGATGGTGTAACACCTGCCGGACTACTCAACATAAAATGTGGATTGTGTAATACCTGCTGAACTACTCTGTATTAATCATTAGTAAACTAGAAATATAACTCAAATATGACTTCCACGAAAAGATATGCTCCTTGAGAGATTACATATACATCCTGTCAAACTTATATGAACTATTTGCTACATAGCTTGAATTAAATTTTTAAAAAAACACTGACCATGAATGGGAGAAAGGAGGCTGCTCCGTTAAGAAGGGGTTGTATCCCGTGGGGTCACCGACCAGGCCGTGGCTTGAGGTCAGAGACAAACCATCACCAAACCCTGAGGTGGAAGGGTGAGGGTGGGAGCGCAGCATCAGCATCTGGACAGACAGACAGTTGGAGGCCGAGAAACGTGGATCTTACGATCACAAGGCCAGGTCAGAAGCCGCTGCCTGCGAGGAACTGAAGATTTGTGTTATATAGCCTCGCGCGATGTCGTGCCGTATACACACTGACGACATTCTACACCACGCGCGCGTGCCGCGGCAGGCATAGAGTAAGTAGCGCAGTCTCCATCACGCGCTCTTGTGTGTCGTTAATAGCTTCTGCTGATAGGTTGGTCCCCTAGAAGATCTACTCTTCTGAAAACCCCCCACCCCAGAGGAAAAATAAGGTGAGGGATGGAACGTTGAGTTTAAACGTACTTTGAAACAACAGTATGAAAGTTTCTATCTTATTTAAGATACAGAACGATTCCTCCTTTCTCTCATTCTCTCTCTCTCTCTTTTTTCTTTTCTTTTTCATTTGAGCATGATCATAAAGATGGTCAGAGTTCATCAAAAATATATTATCAATGATAATGATAGAAAACTTGCGAGGTCTATATAACACAACAGAACAATGTGAAGTTAATTATCTTTAAATGATCTAAGATATCGGACCTAAGTCTTCCTACCTTTACATATTACAAATCAAAGCTTCATAAAAAAATTACTAGAACGACACAACTTAAATAAACATCGATTTGAAAAGAAAAAAAAAGACAAACATTGTTCATATTCAAATGTCAACATAGAAAAAAAACTGTTTAGCGTTTAGTAGTCTCATAATAACACAACACAGATACACAAGAACACGACATTATGGAGACAAGATCCAGAGCTCATCAATTACTAACCCAATTAATACCAGTTTCATTCAACATCCTTACTGGTAATAATCCCATTTTCACCCAAGTGGTAATGAAACCCACTTACCTATCCCATCGTTGTCAGCCACATAAACGAACCCCACTGATACAAACCCTTCATACAGCCCTATTGACACCATTCCCACATGCTGACTAATAATGGTATTATGCTTATCCTTCTTTTATTTAGACATTCACCTATCTCACTGGTACTTATTAGGTAGTTAAAGCGTTATAGAAACATTGATTTTATCGAGTTTGAGGATTTACTGTATGAATAGTTTACTGCACAAGTTGAAACTGTACCAAAAACATAATTGTTACTGATGAAGCAGTTGAAATAGTTGAAACTATACGAAAAATAGCATTGTTATTAAACAGTTGAGGATTTACTTTCTAGAACGGTTACTGCAGGAGTTGAAACTACGAAAAAACAGCATTGTTATGAAGCAACCGAGGATTTACTAAGTCTATATACAGCATTTATTGTAACAGTTAAAGCGTTACATCTTTACTTTCATGAGAACTGCATTAAATTGACATTTTACTAACTCAAACCAATTGGTAGATTTTTTTTCTTGCAACAGGCAATAATACATTTAAAAGTGAACTGAAAATTGAAAATCACATTCTACTATATTCAACAAAAATCTCTATTTGAAATAACAAATTTATTAACGTGTTTCTTTTAAGTAGAAAACGGTGAGGAACTAAATTTAGTGAACAGTTTTTATTTTAACAGGAAATAACATTACATAATGTACATAGTAATTCAGTTCGTTTTAACAGAAGGGTTGGTTGCAAGTAAATCTTTTGTAAAATATAAGCTGTTACTAAACACGTCACCTTAATCAATGGCTTCCATCAGAATGCGACATTTTATTTTTTAATTGTCTAGAACAAAATTTTCACTCAAAAGAGAGACAAAATGAAATTTATTATCGTAAACCAAACTTTATTTTTGGTTCAAAAGGATTATTACTTTCATTATACAAAGAGTTTTCTGTCAATACGCTGCAGCACATAAAAATTCAATATTGAACAAAGATATTCTTGTTGAAATTAGAAAAAAGCATTAAACAGAAGTCACTAATAGGTTCTAATCCCCATCCCACCAAACATGCTCGCCCTTTCAGCCGTGGGGGCTTTATTATGTGACGGTCAATCCCACTATTCGTTGGTAAAAGAGTAGCCCAAGAGCTGGCGGTGGATAGTGATGACTAGCTGCCTTCCTTCTAGTCTTAGCATTGCTAAATTAGGGACGGCTAGCGCAGATAGCTCTCGTGTAACTAATAAATTATCACATCCAGAACAAAAATATAAATTTCTATTAAAATGAAACTGGTTATATCAAAGGTGGACAGTATCTATTTCATCCACGTGTTTGTGTGGATATAAACTTGAACAATAGAAATAAGTTTGGTGAGGACAGATGGGAACATTCATCATAATTGGTTTATAGGGCAGTCATTCTACTGTTTTTTTTCTTCTTCAATGTCTTTTGTAAACGCAAACAGAGAGTTAAAAGCATTGGTTGAAACATAACACTCAAAGAGCTAAGAAAATAAAAAAAAAATATAAAGTGTTAGGCGAGCAAAGAAAAATGTCTTACTTTCAAACCATACGAATGTGAACAAGCTTTCCTTCACGAACGTACACGTTATACTTATTTAACAATGTCAGATATGCACTGGTTCATAGCGAAATTCTTCCAAAACCGAACCGATCTTTGTTCTGAATTGTTTTTTAGACGTTTTCCTGAATAGTTACTCGAATCTCAACTCTACAAGTGGAACTGTCGGCTGTGTATCAAATATATTTTCTCACGATTGGATATAAAGTCAGTGTTAGTTAAAATGCTTTCCTAACGTTTCTGTGCTTCTATTCGTTAATTGGTAACTGGGTCTTTCCTTTGCCTGGAGTTCCTTAATTACGTCCTGTGTCAGCATCATTAGTATGTAGAAAGTGACCTCACGGCACCAAACTAACCCTCACTTGTTTTCCTAAATTACTTTGTTTTATACAAATTAAATGTGTGTGTGTGTGACGGTTTATCCAGTTGCGTGTTCACTTCTCATGCGTCATTTGTTTCTATAAGACGCACTTTTTTTTATTATATTCTTTTAAACAAGAGAAAGCAGCTTTGTATATTGTAAATTATTTTGGTTCAAACAAACATAAAAATGAAGTCACACAAATCAGTGTGCATACGTAATCTGCGTCATGAGTTTCGATACAACAGTAAAAAAAAACAGTAAAATTGCTGAAAAGTTTCGTCAGAACATTTTCAGCGCGTATTTACAAAGTTCTATATTTTAGCTGAAAACATTTTAAGATTTTTTTTTTCAAAAAGGAATATTTTTAAGATTACAGAAAATATATACCGTTTTTAATGGTGTTTATTAAAGTATTTTCTTTCAAGATACAGAGCTTTGTAAAAGCTCTAAAAACGTGTACCGGAACTTTATTCTGTAACTATAAGATTTGTTTTTACAATGTACTTATATACTGTATCATCAGATCATAAATAACTTATTGCGCATACGTGTTCAGTGTTAGCAGATCAGTATGCATATGCATTCTGTACCAGAAGTTTTGATACCAAACACGTACGCTCATACTATACCTCATCAGATCAGAAACTACGTGGTACATATACACATTCACTATCATGAGACCAGAAAAGATCTGATACATAAATCAGAAACGATGTGGTATATATACACATTCGGTGTCATCAGATCAGAAACTACGTGGTATATATATACACATTCAGTGTCATCAGATTAGAAACTACGTGGTATATATATACATTCAGTGTCATCAGATCAGAAACTACGTGGTACATATACACATTCAGTATCATCAGATTAGAAACAACGTGGTATATATACACATTCAGTGTTATGAGACCAGAAAAGATGTGGTACATATACACACTCAGTATAATCAGATCAGAGAGGATGTAGTGCATCC